ATGTAACATAAGGTTTAATTTGATTAGGTAACAATCAGATCACTATTACTGCATGCTCAAAAATTGGTAACCTTTGTTCATTATTTAATGTTTTTTTTTTATATATTTGTTACGATGTAAATAATTGCAAAATAAATTAATAGTAATTTGATATTTTATAGAGATATATTTTATTTGAACGTTTTTTAGTAACCTTTTTCATTGTGTGCCCAAATTCCGATTATAAAAATTTATTGAATTGAAACTTAAAAGTATGGGATATAAGGTTTAGTTCGGTCATGTAACAATCAGATCACTATTACAGCACGCACAAGAAAAAGGAAAAAGTATTCCTTTATTCGTCACTGAGGGTTTTACTATTCCAAGATTAGGTAGTCGATAATTCTAAATGGGCACGGAATACGTTTAAAAACCACAGAGTTCTATTGTTTATAACAAATTTATAAAAAAAAAGATATTTAGTTATTCATGGTAATTAGTAGCAACCTCACTGTAGTCAAGTTTTGACTAATATACTAATTTAAGACTAATTTAATTTAAGCAATTTGCAGAATCTGTATTTGTCTGTAGCTTAAATCGCGCGTTGCCTATATCTTGAGCTTAAACCGAATATGTTACTTTGGTACATGATTTATTGTTACATATAATCCACTAACTCACCAGTTATGTTTAAGAAATAAGACTATATCATGTTAATACTTCATACTTATCCAGTTTTGTACAGAACATTAAGTTTAAATATCTATTGTTACATATCTAATAAACAGTTATTTTTTATTATTATGAATAATCGCGATATAATGCAGGTATGTAGAACTTTGCTTTACATAAATGAGGTATAAAAGATTGGTGTTTTTTTTTTTTAAACGGTAAACAAGATAAAAATAAATTTATTTGGAAACATGAATATATAATAAATAGAAAGACATACCGATTATTGGTTGACAGACTTAAATCATACATATTTTGCTAACATTGGGGTGTTGTTGTTGTTTCAACGACAAAAATAACTGTGTTTCAATAATAATGACTTTTTAAATGCCTAACAAAATACATTGAGAATAGTGTTTTTTCTGTGCAAATTGAATACAAAGTAAATGCTATTAGCATCAATAGAGAACAATACAGCATCAAATATTGATGTGTTGATATTATCAAAAACAAAAACTTGAACCGGATGCTTTATTACAAGAATGAAGATACAGAAATCCCCAGGGCTGATTACTCGTATCTATACGTGGATGTACACAAACATATTGACTGAACGAACCAAATACAAATTCATGATCTGAATGAAAAGTTATATGCACAATAAAATGAATCCAGTCTACGCCAAAACCGATAAGACACATCCACGGTGATAACAAAAATGGTAATCCTTTATATCAAATTAAATAAACAAAAAATCTAAAATATCGACAACGGAGGTATTTTTAAAGTTAAAAACAAGTATGTTATTAAAAGTAATAGATAAAATTCAGTATTTTGATAAAAAAATGATAGAATACTTGTCATATTTTTTTATCGTTCAAACACTGATCCTATTATTTTCTGACTATAATCACAATATTACACTATTTGTTTCCTCTGTTGTCAGAGAATCTAGATAAGTAGCAAACGATGCCTTCGCTTCAGCTTTTCCAAAGTAAAACAATGTTTAATCGACAAAATGGAAGAAAGAAATGTTTATTATATCCAATAAATATTTTCCTACGACTACCTTAATGTATAAACATATGTTTTTGTAATGTGATGGACTATTAAAAAGCATCGAAAGGATCCATTTCAATCTAACATAAAAGGCTGACCTTTTACCGTTCCTTTTATCATGGTTTCAAAAAAAAAAAAAACAAAATGAATGCTTACTTGATGTACATATATGACTTATGCCATTTGCGGTTAGGGCTCTCTATTCAAAGAACCTTATACGTTTAACAACAAGGTAGAATTTACACAAATTGAAGAGCTCACTCAATTTTTGGTTATGTATTTAGATCCTGTACCTAAGAGTGTTTTGCAAAAGAGGTTATTATATCAGGATTTGTGGGACAGGTCTTTCGGTATTCAATATTTTTATTCAATTCTATGAGCAATTGACCCCGCTAATCCGAAATGAGATAGGACCTTCTCCAATATATTGGAATAATGTGCCACTTTTCATTCCCTTCCTGTCGCTATTGACTACGCATGAAATGTCGAAAAATATTTCAGGATGTACGAGAATTTTCATAAGAAAATGTAAGCCTTATTAGGTAAATAGTACTTAATATTTTTTAAATACGCACGTGCACTGATTTTTTGATGTTTCCTCGACTAATCTGCTTAATATTTTTATTCTTATTCAAATTTATTCCAAAAACTTTAGTGGAGATTTTTATTATTTTAATTTGATCAATATTTAACCTTGCTAGTCATTGAAAGTGAGGTTTTTTTTTTGTTATTTCTTACCGCATTAACGGCTCAACCTGTCGTACATTTTAGTATCGTAAGCATGAGCAATAGGAGTGGTCAATATAAGGCGTTATCCATATATTTTAGATACAATATCTAATGGCGTAAGAACGGATATTTTAAATGTCGATTATCCAAGATATATGTATATTTATATAATCATAATGTGCAGTAGTTCTCTAATGTATGTATTGTAATTTTTTTACTGCATAATAAAATTTCTGTTTTGCCAAAGGTTGACTGGGAGAGAATGCTATATAGTATTAAGTCCGCCTTTTGTACCAGACATTTTTTGTAATGTGGTCAATAAAGAATAAATAAATGAATAAAAAAAATATAATAACGAAACTAATATGAGCCTAGAATATCCGATTAATATGAGCAATATTGAAATAGGTGATGATTTTTTTTATCCGCACTTAATAACTATACGAACCCAGTATATAGATATCGGAGTATTATCGATATTATCTATTCCTAATATATAAAAACAGACTATTTTTCATATCATATCCTGGATATATTAATCGATCAGGATAAAAAGTTTCCACATTTTCAGTGTCGCATCCAAGCTGGTACAGCTGAAACATATTACGAAAATGGTTGTATAAATTTAAATTTAATGATATAGCAATGTGTAATTTTATATAATATTTAACAATCTTTTTTCTTTCATTTCAGGTAACAAGACACGCAACGAGATAACTGTTGTAACATAATAACTATGAAAGTTTAGACATGTAGTTGGATCTTATTCATTTTACACCGATGGTATGTATAAAATATTTCCATATTATAATAATAAAAAAAATTGACAAAATATAGATTAAAATGTCTATTATTTTATCGGAAGTGTTATCGAAATAAATAAATGAATAGGAGAATTATGATTTTTAGAAATTCTTGACTTGGTATTCTTAGTAGCACTTTAATGACTTAAATTATTAGTCAGTCCTTTTATAAAAAAAAAGCATTTTATAAGATATTCATATTTTTATTAACATTTGTTTTATACTACCATAATGATATGTGGAAGTGCCTTTATAATTTTAGAGAATAAATTCTCAATAAAATTTTAAATATTTATTATAATTGAAATACTTTATAAAGGAAGTAATAAAAATGTAATTATTCCAATTTTTTTTATGATAAAGGAGTGTTATATTTCCATGACAATTCAGAGTAAGTGTCAGTACACTTCCTTACCTTCATCAATACGAGGGAAGCATCATGGACATGAAAAGTGAAATTTTGCGAATATTATTTTACAAAGCCGTACCAATAAATTTTAATGAGTTTTCGAAATTTAATACAATAACGTACCTAAATAAGCGGCAGTGTAAACCGCCTATAAATCCCCGAATGTTCGTACAGTCAGTTTGACGGGCCAGCCCCTAAATAATGGACGGAATTTCGCGCCATAGACCAGGACATAAACTATTAAAGAGGCAGCTATAACCGACGACGTACAATTTTATGAGTCGCTTTTGCATATTGAATGGCCGCACAGCCACTTCGGTTTGGCAAATGGTTCCGTTTTTTGTTTGGCGAATTAACGAATTATGAGTTTTACGTGTACACAGTATTGCCAGTTTACTGGATAACAAATTTACATTCGTTTTTAACAAATTTTTTATTGGACATTTATAAACTGTAACATTGCAGAGACTTTAATTTATTCATCATAATTCATTTAACGATATTAATTCATTCATCATCATTACAATATATACATCTTCCTCTGTCCAATATAGGTTTTTATCATATTTCGCCACACAATTCAAATGGAATAGGGCTACCACTTGTATCTAGCCACTCACTGCAACTTTTTTGTCCCTCAATCTTACGGCAGAACCCTACTTTAAAACCTTTTTCCCCCATTAGTTATCAGTTATTTGAGCTATATGGTCGTCCCATTGCCACTCATTTGTTTTATTGCCGTGGAATCTCGGAATAGTAAACCCGTTAGTTTGAAATTGTACGTACATTGATGAATATTGTGTGATAGGTACATGAAAAATAACGAGAGTATGGCACAGGATTTGCACAAAATATTCAAAATTAAATTACGACGAATGACTGTTCTAATTATATACCGTAATACTATACCATATCAGTCGTTAATTGTCCACTGCTGAACATAGAATTTACCTATTGGGAAGTTTTGTCAGTAGTTTCTACGCTTAGCAGGCAGGATAGAAACCTCAGTTAGGCCTTGGTAATGTTTTAAGAGAAACACTGCTGCCCGTCCCTCGACCATTAAGTTCCGTTAGTCGCCTCTTACAACACCCAAGTGAAAGGAAGAATGGACTTTTCTATGCCGTGACCACACGGTAAATTATGTATATACTTTATATCCAATTATATACTTTAAGGCAATTATTTCTAAAAAAAAATATATAAAATAATATGTTTCGTAAATAAATTAATACTTTACATCAATCTTAAATACGTTAAGATATAATTATATGAATTAGATATTACTAATATAATAAAACACAATAACAACATAATACTCTAATCAAATTACAAATATAAGAATATCTCACATAATTAACAAAAGTAGATGCTCTCAAAAATAACAGTTTATTTTATTCTTCCACTGGCACTTCTTCAGCGATAGCTTCTTCTATTTGATCCTCTGCATCTTCAATTTCTGCCGATGGTTCACTAGCCTCTGCAAACTCGTCTATTGGTACTTCGAGTGCATCAAGCGCAGCCTCAATCTCTGCAGGATTCTCTTCTTCAACTTCAGTAGCTGCCGGAGTTACAATAACTTCGCTAACTTTTTTCGAAACCTCTTCTTTAATCGATTCTGGTAGCGGAACTTCTACAGGTGTGGATTCACTAGGTGGAGCTTCAGCAGGAGCTGGTACTGCAGCAGGAGGTTGAGATAGAACTGCTGCATTAGGAGCTGCTCCTTCCTTCCTCGTTATCTTACTTATCTTTTGTTTTCTTTCCAACGGCAAAAATAATTTGTAATCTTGAGGTAACTCTTCTTCACTATACAACCGCTCACTAAAGTATATTCTTCGTATTCGTACATTAGCATGTACCTGAACACGAAGTGTCTCTATAAATTGTGTGCCGTAAGCTCGTCTCGTGAAGTCAGCCAAATTAAATTGTATTTGATTCCAACCCCCAGAGAGGCCAATTGGCATACTCGTGCAAAATGGTTTAATTTTTGTGGTTGACTGGAAATTTGAAATTCTGAACCTTCGACGCATGTTTTTATCATCAAGTATGGTTATTTCGAAAGAGAAATATCGTTTTAAATTTTTCACTATCATAACTAAAAAAGGCAATTTTATTCCTAATACTTGATTCCTATTCGGGCATGTTATGTATGTTGTTGCTACATTCGTACTTACTATCTCTAGAACTATGGAGTTTACTTCATTATCGGTAATTCGTTTTATGTGGCCATTTTTCACTTCCATATCCCATATAGCTAGAGGATTTGAACCACAGCTATAAAAAATGGATAATAATCCATTTTGATACGTATTTTTGAACATCGTGTATAATATTTTATCTGTCCTTTTTACAAAAATAATATTTACAACATTGAATATAGGAATGTCAGTTTTGACATAAGTTGTCAATACTTATATTTCATGCCAGTATCATTTATTTATCATACATATAGTAACTAAAACTACTTTTATTCCATTTATTGAAGTTTTATAGTATAATTTGCATAAAATATTTATTTTTACATGTTTTGAAATATTTTTTATAAAATATTTAATTGACCCAACGATAAGCTCGTTAAGCTACTTAGCGCTTAGTTTTAGATTTGATTCAGAACATAAAAAAGTGCAAATAAAAAATACTCATGCATTCGTGATTATGATCAAACTTCATGATTGACATGAGGCTTAAAATGATTGTCTGTCCGTTGATCTGTGTATACCATAGAATTAATATACGATACTACGTTCTAATAGGCTAGCAATGCAATCACAAAAACGAGACGAAAATGTGATTACACTTGTTTGCGTGAAATGTAAATGTGAACATATATCACTGCTACACCATAAACATTCTATCATTAGATGAATAATCGATTCTGTATACGATAATGAATCGAAACTCGATACTTTCAATTTTATTTATGTATTATGTAATAATTGTGTTGTAAAATGATTACATTTTTAGAAACTAAATAACTTTGTGGGTTTTATACCAAATATAATATTATATAATACATATATTATATAATACATATAATAGTATATTTTAACCGACTCTAATAATAAGAGGAAGTCTCAATTTGGTTGTATTTTTTTAAGTTTGTTTTTTAAACAAGCTGACGGCCCACCCGATGGAAAGTGGTAACCGTCGCCTAGAGACATAAGCAGTAACATGGACATAACAGAGTATACTGTTTCGCCCATGATACCTCCCAGGCGTTGCCATTCCTGAGGACTCGGATGTTATTCCTCTGTACCCTGTAAATTTACGCCATATCCCACCCTTCAAACCGAAACACAGCCATGCAAACACAACTGCTTCACGGTAAAAACACGAATGGGACAGTGGTACCCAAACAATCGACTTTTGTACGAAGTCTCCCTCTGGTTTGTTATTATTTTAATTTAAATACTTGTGCCTTCAGAGTATTAATTATTTTAAATGTGATAATTTTCTCTGTCGACTTATATACAAAATATTTGTTATGAAATATAAACATGAAATTGTGTTTTCTCTGTTATTTATATTACATTCAGCTAAAGCATACTTAATTCTAACTACGTTTACTCAAAACTAATTCCACTTCAATAGGTACGTAAAAATAATTAGAAATTATTGTGGTCATACTCCCGCCAAAACAGCTTCGTGCTTATGTTGTGCAAATTATCTTATTTTTTCTCCCCTCTAACATACAGGTATTATATTTTCTGTCTCGTGCATTGCTATATAAATCTTATTCTAAACTCTGTCTCTCTTTATCTAAACTTTATAATCTAAGGTATATACACAGTGTATTCGATGATGTTTATATCCCCATTCATATCTATAGACAACTTACCATTTTTTTTGTAGAATAAGTGTAAATATTATGTAAAAAGATATTTATTTGCAGTATCATACAGTAGATATAATACAATATGAATGTATTATCATACACAAAAACCATTATCTATATGTGCTTATTATTTCCAGTAATGCGTCTACAATATAGAAAGTATATACTCTTTGTATACTTTTCTATAGATCATAAAATTGAAACAACATGTTATTATTCAGCAATCTCAATTTGTGCTTCAGGTCCAACTTCCGGCTCCATTACTATAAGTTCCGTAACGATGTCAGTTAGTATCTCTTGCATTGCCTCAGCTTCTGAATTTTCCTGAACAGTTTCGCCTTCTATTTCTAATGATTTTTCTTTAATTTCTTGATTTTCCACTGCCTGTTCTAATATCTCTTTAGGCAAATTAATAGTATGATCAGCTACTTCAACAACATCTGTCACTGTCTCAATTTTTTCTGCAGATCTTATATTTGTTTCCTGTGATGAAATTTTCTCAACAGAATGTACTGACCTCTTAGACCCAGATATTATTATGTCGGCATTGCTTTCTTTCTTCTCTTCTGTAACTTTTAAAGCTGTTTGTTGTGATGGAATTTGTTTGATGTCATCTTTTATGTCTAACTTTGAATCTTTCTTTCCTTTTGCTTCTTTATTACCCAAAGGAAAATACAATTTATATTCTGGAGGCAGTTTATCTTCTGGTATTAATCTTTCTGCAAAATATATCCGTCTCAACCGAATATTTGCATTAATTTTTAATTTTTGCACTTCGACAAATTGCTTTTTATATGCACGTCTAGTAAATTCAGCCAAATTAAATTGAATTTGATTCCATCCTTCGGAAAGTCCAATAGGCATAACCGTACAAAGTGGCAGTATCTGAGTTGTGCTTTGAAAATTCGAAACCCGAAATCTTCTCCGTGTCCCAGTTTCATCCAGTATGGTTACTTCGAATGAAAAATATTTTTTTAGATTTTTAACTATCATGACCAAAAATGGCATAGTAATTCCCAAAACCATTTTACCTTTTGGACAAGTCATGTAAGTTGTACTTACATTAGTTCCTCCTATCTCTAATACCATTGACTTTATATCTTGATCCAAAAACCTGGTAATGTAACCATCTTGAGTATGTGTATCCCATATATTTAAGGGTTTTGAACCTACGCTGAAAAATACCGTAAGCATTCCACGTTGATACGAATTTCTATACATTTGTACCTCTTATAATTAATATATAATTATTCTAAAATAATAACTCCACCTTAGTTCCTTCATAGATGACGTTTTAGACATAATATTTTTGTGCAAATTTCATTGAAAAGTTTGTAGGACTTTTTTATGAAAATATAAAAAGAGACTGTATATATTATAAAAACAACTAAAGCAAGCGTCGGAATATATCATGCGTCAACATTGGTATCTATATAATTATATGCAAATAAGGTACAAATACGTGTACATATAAGATGAATATGTTAGTTTAGTATGCTACCTAAATGGATTGATTATAGAGTTTTATTTCAAGTCTTCTTTCTCTTTTTTCTTACTATGTCCTAGATATGAAAACAAGAGATGACACATTATATTCTTAGTCCGTCACCACGTTTTAAAATATTCGTGTCATATTATTACTTTCTTAAAAGCGAAATGGAAAATGGAGCGATATAGGAAGAGTAATATCGTAGCACCAAAAAGTGAATCGTCAACGAATCGTAGCTCCTTACGATTATAAATGAGCAGAACGATAAGGGGGATTGGCAAAAACGCTAATTTCCGCCGGCGCCGCGGCTAAAATACCTTCAAGTTTGGAGCGCTATATCTTTACTTAATACTTTACTTTCAACAACAAAGCTATACAAAATGTTACTTGAAAAGGTATCGAGACGATTAAAGTACTCAGTTACAAATAAAATTATATTTAATATTACTATACTATACTCATTCCTTACAACTAATTCACTAGGAAAAATAAATCATGTATTTGTCGAATACTACAAAAATAAATGAGGCCGTCAGAGGTAAACAGAAAAACTTCCACAAATACGTAGAAATAAAACTTTTAAAAGAATAGCTCGCTTTCGCCATGATTTATCTACCCATTTGTCATCCTCGACACTAGGAAAATATGTCACGCAAACCCACAAGTAACGTTCACACACGGTTCGTAACGAAAATAACATTTTTGTCGTCTGTAAATCACGTGACTTTTCCACTATGCTGGGCGCCCTTAGAGACAGCCGCGCGCAGCAAAAAATCTGAGCGACGGGAACAAAGGAAAATGAAAAAGAGCCTTTCTACTGTCACGATAAGGAGTGCATGGGCGTGTTTAGGCGTTGTAGGCACCTACCGCCGTGATGCGACTAGTTTCTTTGTAGCTATCTATATTTCCTTAAGTCCACACACAGTATTCCATAGCACTCAACTTTTTATAAATATTAGGGGAGACACCCCACACGTTACGTTGTTAAGATATCATTGCTATTTTTTGGAATCAATGGCGTAGAAAACGGTGGCCGATAACGATAACGGCTGTCGGAAAAGAATAAATGAATAATGTTTACTCTAGATATTTTCCGTAGGCCTATCTCAATATTTACATGCTGCATTAATATTCATAAGTGTTATTGCGTGGAAAATTGTAATTTACACAGATATTGCTCAATAACAAATTTGTTGTAGACATGGGAGCAGTGTGTTGTTTACTAATACCAGCTATATGTTATCTGTGTATATCTTGATTAGATCAAACAACTGGCTAGCAATTTTGTTTTCCATCGTAAATTCTTACTAACCACTGAGCACATTATTTTTAATTAAAAAACCTAATAAATAATAGAACATTATAAATGTTTCAAGCTTTTTACTTACATTCTTTTCTCTACCCGTTTTTCTATTTAAAATTTATACTAATCAATCACATTTAAAAACTTTCTACTAGTATCCAACTGAGATGAAATTTGGTGTACTTTTGTGATAAAATTGCAATAATATCTTACTAAATCAAATACTAAGTGAGATAATGGTAAGAAAGGCGGTTATGGGATTATTTAATTATAAAGATTCTGTGGCCACGTTACAATAAAACTCCAATAAATTTGAGCTCGTTTGACATATCTCTATGAGTAGTTGGCTGAAAGTTGTCGATTAACGTGTGGTAACTATCGTAACAAGCCGGAAGGTAACAAAATGTATGAATAAAAATTTATTTTTAAATATAATTTCAGCGGATTTCCGTTCTAAACATTCTCGTCACTTTGAGATCGTCTATTAATCACGTAAGGCTCGAAAGGGGAGACGGCGGGTTCGGAAAAATTACGAAATATCACAAAAAGAGGGGGGGGGGATAGTAGAATATCACGTGTGTTTTTTCGTAGAACACGCGATATCCAAACTGAAAAGCGGTGCATTACCTTGACTCGCGGTTGCAAGCTCAATGTCTGACTAAGCATTAGTCTAAAAACTCACCATGTATCACCAGGGAGGAAGAGGTTAAAAAGTTGCTAAAAACATCATAGGAACTTAATAATTGAGGGATGGGCAGCAGCATCCTTCTTAGAATATCACCAAAGCCTTTCCAAGCGTAGTAACTACTGGCGAAACCCCTCAAGGAGGAGGCCTATGTTCAGCAGCGGACAGTTAATGGCTGATATAATGATGACAATATAATTTTTGATTTATGGCTGATATAACAACAATAAAAAAATATTATAAAATATAGCTCAACGGCTGCTCTGACGCTAATGAAAAAAAGCCAATTGCTTGAAAACTGAAAAAGCGGCGTTTCGGAGATATGCCTGGGTATATTTACAGAGCTCATTGCTCGGCGCAACGAAGCGTGGTCTGCATAATGTATCGAACGGTACGCGATTCCAGCGAAGCTTTGTCTGCTTTATTTACAGCCGGCCCGTGTATTCACGCGGAAATTGGATTTGTAAAATAAGACACTGTATAAATAATCTTTATCTAAAACATATCTCAACGGGGTCGTTTGTTCCTACATTATTTTTTTCGCCAGAATTCCTCCAGTGCGTACCACTGCGTATGTCAGACTGCGCCGTAGAATATCTTTGACGCTAATGGAATTGTAATAAATATTTGTTTGTATGTGGTAATGTCGTTTCAACCCTCAAATCGTGAGATGAATTTGTTTTGATGTTGCCGGTAAATCTTGATACCACATTCAAGATAAACAAGTTAGTACAATGTCAAGACACAAACGGCGCAGCAAAAGATTTCATGTTGTTAGTAATATAATATTTTTCCAATTCTAAATATCTCCTATTAATAATAACTATATCATAATTATTACGTGAAAATATATCTATTATTTAGAATTATTGTCTTAATAAGTTTTGCTCCAGTCAAGTAAAATAATAAAAGACATTAATATTAGTCTCTCTACGCAAGGAAGCGGTATAACGGAAAATTATAATTTCTGCGCCGAGAAATTGTGCTAATTAAATTAATCTTCGTAAATATAAACGCTTTCTTAATATGTCAGAATCATAAAATGAGATATATGTATTTAATACAACAAATAAAATTTATTTGACATATTAAAGAGCGCCATCTAGTTCCAAATTAAGCATACTTTATACTATTTGTATTAGACAACTGATAAATATAATTTTGTACATACATACATATTGTGTATTTACAAAATTATGTAATTTCATTAGAAAGTCAGTGAATCCACTGCTGCACATAGGCCTCCCCCATAAGAGGGGCCAGATGATACACATTATACGTAGATAATATCCAGACCAATACAAACAAACATATTCATAAATATACATCTTTGTATTGTACAAGGAACGAACCCGGAACCAACAAAAGGTGAAGTAGTGGATTTAATCGTAACACTCCAAATATTGTCCTAAGTAAACACAAAACACAATTTCAAACTACACTGCATTAACAATTTTCCAAATTATTTACAACCCAATTTTTTCTTTTTATCCCAGCGTGCTATTGTTCAAGTATACAAGCTATGCAGTAAAATATGAATTCGTTTATAAATTTTCCACTTCTGGAACATTATTTCCTCATGATTTTTTGGAGTCGTTGACAGTGGCGCCAAAGTTACGGCCCCGGGTGGAAATAATCGCCGTCGAGCCCCGGGCAGGGACAATGTATCGAAATTAATATCCGGCACGAGAGCCGGGGAACAATTTGTCCGGTCGGAATGCGGATAATTAAACGGGCCAGCCAGCTTACATGAGTCTAAAAATATTTCACCAAGAACTTGCGAAACTAAATCGAAAAAGTCCCGAATTCCAGGATGTTGTGGTGCTAATGTATAGTGTATTATAAGCGGCCTTTAGAGATACCTAAAATATACATCGGAAATTCGTTACAATTTTGCTGCACATATTACGGTTTATCACAAAATCCGATTGAGTTTCTTTTCAACCAATAGGTGGATGTTGTTAACCAATTGACCTCAAAAAAGGAAGTTCACAGTTCGGTTGTATTTTATTTTATGTTTGTTACCTCATAACTCCGCCAATTGTAAACCGATTTAGAAAATTCTTTTTTTATCTGTAAAGATATATTTACAGATTGGTCCTATAGAAATTTTATCAAAAACAGTTTAGTGGTTTAGTTTTTAAATCAAAATGACTGGTTTTGTCACAATTAAAGTCTTTTTTTTTTGTGTGCCTTCATTATTTGTACTATCAACTGGAACCCTAATAGGATAGGTAGACGTACTAGTTGACTGTTACCATTTTGTTTAACCATTACACTTACTATTTCGCCAATACATATTCTACCGTCTACCACAGTCTTTCCAATTTATTTGGTTATTATCGGTGATTTTTATCATCGGAAAGTTAGTTGGAAATTTAAATTAACTCACAATTTTTTATGTGTTGGCCAGATTCGAATTTAAACCCTTGACTGTATCGATAAATATTTTAATGTTTGGTTGTATAATAAAAATTACTCTCAAAATAGTCCCTTATTAATTCTGTTAAAATTGAAGACGTTTGTGACAAAAATGTTAAATTATTTAACACCTCTTCACCTGTTTTATATTATTAGTCTTGCTTTTAATTTATTATTATTATAAATATATATTAATATTAAAATATGATAATATAAACTAAGTGTAATATTGATTTGATAAAATTGATATATTGATCTTATTAGATCAATGTTATTTTATATTATCATATTATACTAACGCTTTAAAGTAATTATTAAATAAACAAAATAACCTAATATTATTATGCTTATACGTATTACTCTGTGCTAAT